AACAACAATCAAAGTACAAAATTTCACTTTGAACTCGAGCCGCGAAAGGGTGGGGGAACTCGGAACCCTGCTGTGGGGGTGGAACCTCTGGGCCTCGGCGCCACTGCAACCCATGTGTGCGGTCATAGGCGAAATTTGGGTCATGTTTGTGTTCGCTCATGTTCGCCAAACCAAAGCAAAAAAAAAGGAAAAGAAATAAAAGGAAAACCCTAAGCCGAAATCATGCAAACCAGCGTGTGTCTAATGAAATGCCACCCATGTGCGGCTGCAGTCTTTTTTTTACCTTTTTTTCGTGTTCCAGCGGAAAAGCGCTGGTCAAGATTTGTGGTCGCTGCAGTTACGCCAAAGAGCTGCCACTGAGCTGCAAGAATAACGCCGACTGTCTGTCAATCGTTCGATATTTATGGAACATAAATCCAATCTGAAGGGTCATTCACTAATTGGGGTTTTTCGTTTATGGGGAGAGGTTTTTATGGTCGGCCGGCTGGCTTAGAAAAAATCCACTTGGGGTCGTATTTCAAAGAAACCTCCATTTCGGTCTTCTTTTACAGCCATTGGCAAATTGCTTGTGTACGAGCTGTTTTTATGTTTTTCTTAATTTAAAATTACCATTATAGGCGATATAGCAAATGGGCTTTATTTGATTCCATTTTGTTTAGTTTTCCTACATTAAAAACATAATTATTGGAGTATTATATATTAAATATATTATTTGAAGACTTTGACCTTCCGCACTTCAGTGAATCCCAACCTCTAATTGATTTCATTGAATTTACGCATAATTATTTCCCCCTAATACACAAATCAAATGCAATTATGCCCGAATTCCAATTTACAGTGGAACTTCCGTAACAACCCTCGCCACGGCCTGTTAAGTCACACAGCCACAAAGCGAAGCTACGAAGACAGATCTTTGCATTTATAATTTCATGCCAGAATTCCCTGATAAATTGATATATACATATACGGTGGTGGTTCACTTCACTGGCTGACTATCGGCCCGTCCATGGCCAGTGCCACGCCCCCTTTTCGGCCCACCGAGAGCCCGGCTAATGGCCTGGCCAATTGTCGCAAATTAGTGGAGGCCAGCCCAGCACGCACACACGGCGAATACAGCAAATACGACGGCAAACACACGGGGAACCCAAGGCAGACACACTGGGAAGAAACACACATGCAAACCGAGCAGGTGAAGTGGAGTCAAGACAAGACAACTGGAGTCAAGACAAACACCTAAAGCCAATCCACATGAGCACCCAAGCTAACGGTACTCCGGCGAACAGAAGATGGCCAAGAAGTCGGGGGGCCAAGAAGAGGGCCGAGAAGCCGGAGAGAAAGAACAGCTATAAAGAAGTTTACTGCTACAATTGGCAAATTGAAAATTGCTCGCTGGTGGCGGCGGCGTTGGAGTTTCGAGCTGGAGCTTGAGTTGAAGCTGAAGCCCAAGCCAAAGCCAAAGCTGATGTTCAAGTTGAAGTTGACCGGGCCAAGGCGGAAGCTTCAGACCAAAAGACCCTGAGCGGGCCTAAAGCTAAGGCTACCCCCTCTCCACCCCTGCGATGCGTTCGTCTGGCCAGATAAGCTGACATCCACAACGTGCCACAGACGATGATGCATTTGCCAAGGTACTCGCAAGTAGTCGCTGCCTTAGCCGCTGGAGTTGCCGCACTAGACAGAGACGTTTCAATTTCAAACGAGAAAAGCCATATTACCCGACTCCAGAATTTTGAGATACCCTACGAGGCGCTCTTATATAACCTTTGATCCTTGCTCGAATGTCCTTTTATAGGATATGTAATCGCAAATCTTTTATTTTCTTTACTATATTTTACAAGTTATGGAATGATCAAAACATGTAAAATGACTATTATCCTTATAAATTTATTATTGTAAAAACATTTTTAAAGGTTTTCATCCAATCGATTTTAACATAACATTTTAAGCTATTTGTTTGGTAACATATTAATAGAAATTGAATAAATATTGGTTTATAAAATTCCATAAGTATTCTTTAAATATTGAAGATCTACATATAATAATATTTACTATATTATGTACAAAAACGGGTGGAATAAAAAGTTTAACTTAGATTAGATTAGTAGATTAAAATCGTATATAAAAATCTGCAAGAACAAATTTATTTTCCATGGCTTGGGACTTATATCAATTAAGGAAGGTCAGAAGAAATATGTTCTTACATTTTCCGCTTGCTTCCATCAACTCTTAAATGTTCAAGATACCCTTCTCTGGCATAACTAAAAGGTATTTGTAAAAAGCAACAAAACGGTTTTGGCCGGGCCAATCTGGCAGGCAGACATTTTAATGAAGCCGCCGTCAGGCAGCATTTGAGGCAGCCACTCTTGGCCGTCTGGCTAGTAACGGTGCCAAGTCCACGAGTCTAAATATCTATAAGTCCACGCACCGGCGTCTGAGGCCAAAACGAATGACTTAAGCGACGAACCTGATGAGCTTAGCCAGTGCGTAAGATTACCTAAGCATTGGACTTTGAGTTATTATATATGTAGAGAACACTCTAGAAACAGCTCAAAAATAGGGCCAAAAATGTCACTTTCAACTTTCGCTACCAGTTTTCCCTGCCATCACTTCAAACTTGACCCAATTCTGCGGGGAAACACCCACACGGCGTTTCAAGACCCGGGTTCTCTATAATTAAAAGAGCAAGCAAACGAAACGAAATGAAATGTTAACTTCAAAGTCCACTTGATTCGGGATCCACGCACTTGATTGGCACTGCCGCAATAAAAGAGAGAACTGGGCCCAGTCTGTTTAGGCGTTAATTGCGGGTTCTGGCAAATTACAGACTTGGCCAAGCGGCCACCAACATGAAATGCACTTTCTCTTCGCCCCAGCGAAAAGTGAGTGAGTTAAAATGGATTGTTTTTTGGATTGGATTGGATTGGGACTTGAGTTGAGATGTGCGAGGGCGTAATGCCAAAATCGAAGGCTTACCTTTTGTTTAGTCTTCTAATTGCTCCCGAAGATCGCCGATCACATTACCACTGCAAAGAGAGAAGCGAGGAGAAAAACACATGAGTAAGCAAAAGAGAAATGCAAATTAGTTTATGAAAATACTCAAGCAGACAATGAACCCCGCAACTCAGCGCGATTCCTCTTATGGACTCAACTCTTCAAATAAAATCTCGAAAACTACCTTCGCCGTCAGCTACAAATTGACATTGTTTCTGTATTTATTTTCGACACATGTTAGCCCGTTGTTCTGTAAGTGACTTTGATTTCGGTTTGATTTATTGCTTGCAATTGTCGCAAACAGCTAAGAAAAAAAAAAGTGAAAACCATTCGCCTCGTTTTTGTTCACTTTTGCTTTCGAAACTTTCAATTCGGTGACTTAATTTCTTTGCTGCGCCAGCGGGCTAATGAAATCGAACTGCCGCTTAACAATGGCAATAGCACTTTTATTGTCAAAGCTCTGCCAAAGAAATTATCAAGTGCACTTTTACTTTCATTGTCGTGGAAGTGCTAACAAACGAACAAACGGGCCCAAAACAATTTTCACTTGAGTGAGTAATGCCCATTTTCCTCTTAGCATCGGCTAATGAGCCGAAAACGCTTTGCGAGCCCATTTCAAAGGGTCGCCAGTCAGTCACCGAGCAAATTGCCAAACAATTCGAATGACTTTGAATGCGATGTGAAGTCGATGTGTATGGGAAAATGTTTCGCCGCAGAAATGAAATGAATCTCACACAAAGTGTGAACAAAATTGTTTATGTAAGTAAGTTTATTACCAAAAGACAATAGCGAAATGCTGGCCAAACTGAAATAAATGCTTTGTCTTCAGGGGCTAATAAAAGATAGCTTAGGATTTGCAAAAGAGAAAAAATTAATACAGTGCGTTACGTAACATACGACTACTGAAGTATAGTAAATATTCTTTAAGTAATATTGGGCTTTGTCAAATAGGTTAATTTATTCCCAAATTTCTAAGCACACCCTATCCACAGAACTAAATGATCATAAAATGGTTCCATAAAAAGGTATACCATTGTGAGATGTCAACAAATTTTTAGGACAAGCTTATAGTCTTCTGTTGGCCAAACAAAACATTTATACGTCTTTTGTTGCCCATAGAGTTCTTGGCATTATTACGGTTTATATGAACTATTATTACCAATTTGCTGGCAGCTCTCTGCACTCTAATTTATATAATAAATTCTTGCAGCGTTTTGTAACCATCTAATTGAAGTGAGAATTTTGTTATAAAACTCACTGATGTATGACATATTAGGTATAATGGAATTACTGTATGCAAGAATTCCCACAACTTCTGAGCAGTCTGACAATAAGTATTCCCAGCCGAGAAGACAAGGGCATAAATTGCAGTTGGCCAGTTTTCAGTTTTGGTTCACTCTAGCGTGGCGGCGACGGGGGCGGCGGTGTGTGGGCGTGGCCTTAATGGCAACTGCAACGAGTTTGCATGCCGAGCATGAAATTATCTGCAGTTGATCTCGAGCAGGGGGCAGCTTTGAGCTGGACATGTTTGCTACTCGAATTAAATAAAACACAAAAAAAACAAGAAACAGAGCCAACAATGGGAGAGGCAAACAAACGTATCAATTAGCAGGAGTCAAATACCCGAGCCCCAAACGAAAAATAAACAGAGCTGGTAACGAAAATAAATTGTAATTGCAAAACGAAAAAATCATAAGCAATATCAGATTTTAAAGATTATTAACTAATAAACCATTTTAATTTTATATTTTTCGGGATGTAGCTTAAAGCTTCTAGCTATGCACAAAGAGAATTCTACAGTTATCATTTAAGTTGAAAATGTTCTTCAAAATAGAACGACATTTTTAAGTTGAAAATGTTTTAAATGTGAATACTTATAAACTCTATTTATCGTTTCTCTCCAAACCATTCAAACACAGAATAAGTAAAGGGTTTTAAGAAATGTTTTTAAATCCAGAATAATATGCTAGATTTTTTCTCTCTCCATATAGACAATCCCTTTTTCTGACAAACAGTAAAACAAAAGAAAAAATACCAGTCACATTACCGAACTATCGTAATTTCCGTAACAACTTGGCAAAACAATCGGCATGAAGAAGAAATTCAAGAAGCGTCAGACCAAGATCAAGTCCTTCTTTCGCAGCGAGGACATGGAGCTGTGTCAGCTGCTCCTCCACACGGACAATGCCTTCGATTGCCTCATCGAGTTGGGTCACCACGGGACGGTTCAGTTCAACAACGTGTACGACGAGGATCGCCTGCTGAACAACCTGTACTCGAAGAAGGCGACCCAGTGCTACGAGTATCTGCGTCTGGTGGACAACCTGCACAATATGATAGTGCAGCTGCATGTGAACGAGGTCTTCTACCCGGATGTCGACCTGGAGAATCGGCTGAGGGAGAAGGACCTGGCCAAGTACGGGGAGCGGCTGAAGCGCCTCCATCTGGAAGCCAGCGCCGTGACGGAGCACTACTACCGACTGGACAGCCGGCGGTACCGCATGATGGAGCACAGCTTCGCCATAACCAGGGCCAACAAGTACATGACCGCCGACATGGGCAGCGAACTGCTCTACTCGGAGAGCACCGTGATGGGCCTCATGCAGGATGCCACCACTACGGCGGGAGGCCATCAGGCGCAGCTCAACTACATGATCGGTTCGATTCGGGCTGATAAGTTCTATAGCTTTGAGCTGCTGCTCTACCGCCTGTGCTCCTTCAACCTGATCATTCGCTTTGCCGAGATGCCCACGCCGGTCTACGAATTCCATCATGGCCAGAAGCCGGAGAAGGTGCGAAAGTTCGTCATCCTGATGATGACCAGCTCCACGATGATGTGGCCCAAGGTTCTGAAGATCTGCGGCCACTATCATGTGAACATTTACGATTGCCCGCGATCGGCCAGCGAGCGGGAGGAGAAGGTCAAGGAGCTGAGCCAGGAGATCGTGAACGTGGAGAAGGTGCTCAAGGAGGCCGAGTTGATGCGCCGCCAGATCCTTCAGGTTGCCGGACAGGATCTGTTTATTGTGCGGGTGAATCTGCGCAAGGCTTTGAAAGTATACGATTTGATGAATCGTCTGAGGCTGGTGGGTGGCCTAGAGGTGCCTCGCTATCTGCTGGCCGAGGTGTATGTCCCCTCCTCGGATGTCCAGGACGTGAGGCTGATCCTGCGAAATGCCAGCCGTTTGAGTGGCGGCGCAGACAGGGAGGAGACAACGGACGAGGAGGATCTGCAGGAGCCAAAGCCCAAGGAGAAGAAGCAAATGCAATGGGAGGAGGGTGCGGAGGAGGATGAGGAATACGAGTTCCAGCCGGACTTCCAGGGGGACGATGTGGCCGCCCGGGCCATTTTGATAAAGAAAACCCGCATGGTCAATCACATGCCGCCCACGTACTTCCGCCTGAACAGATTCACCCGGGGATTCCAGAACCTAATCGACGCCTACGGGATGGCCGACTACAAGGAGCTGAATCCCGCCCCCTACACCATGATCACGTTCCCCTTTCTCTTCGCCGTCATGTTTGGCGACATGGGACACGGCATTCTGTTGATCTTCTTCTCACTGCTCATGATTTGGAAGCACAAGGCGATCGAAAAGTATCAGATTGCCTCGACCTCGGAGAACGAGATCCTGAACATCCTGTTCTCCGGTCGCTACATAGTCCTGCTGATGGGCTTCTTCTCCACCTACATGGGCTTCATCTACAACATAGTCATGGCCAAGGGAATCAATCTGTTCGGCTCCAGCTGGAGTTGTCGCTACAATGCGACCACTCTGCGCGATCATATGGTCCAGCTGACCCTGGACTCCTCGGATCCGAACTTCTACTCCGGCCATCCGTATCCCATTGGCATGGATCCGGTGTGGGCAGTGGTGGGCCAGGACTCAATTACCACCACGAACTCGCTGAAGATGAAGATGGCCATTGTGCTGGGCATCTCGCAGATGATGTTCGGCCTTGGGTTGGCCGCCGCCAACTGTGTGCTGCTCAAGCGTAAGGCAGATCTCTTCCTGGTGGTGTTGCCGCAGGTCATCTTCATGGTCTGCCTCTTCTGCTACCTCGTCTTCCTGATCTTCTACAAGTGGCTGGTCTTCGGAGGCCACAAGCCGGCTCCGTACAACTCGGCCTGTGCCCCCAACGTTCTGATCACCTTCATCAATATGATGCTGATGAAGACCGAGGACCCGCCGGCGGGCTGCCTGGCCAATATGTTTCCCTACGAGCGGCTGCTGGAATACGCCCTGGTGACCATAGCCCTCCTCATGATTCCCATTCTGTTGGCCGGCAAGCCGCTGTATCTGCTGCGAACGCGCAGGAAGAAACAAAGGGCCAGGGATCTCAAGCCGCTGCGCCGGCAGACGATCCGGGAGATGCGATCCACGATGTGGTATTCTACGGACGATATCAGCGAAGTCAGCAGCAGGACGAAGACTGTGGACAACGAGGACGAGTTCGAGATGTCGGAGATCTGGATTCACTCGGGCATCCACACTATCGAAACGGTGCTCGGTTCGGTCTCGCACACCGCCTCCTATCTGCGCCTGTGGGCCCTGTCCTTGGCCCACGACCAGTTGTCGGATGTCCTGTGGCACATGGTCCTAGCCAAGGGGTTCAACAACCACCTGCCCCTGTACTACGGCGTGCCCATGCTCATGGCCGCCTTTTTCGCCTGGGCGATCCTCACCGTGGCCATCCTGGTGATGATGGAGGGCCTGAGCGCCTTCCTGCACACCCTGCGCCTCCACTGGGTGGAGTTCCAGTCGAAGTTCTTCGGCGGCACGGGCGAGTCCTTCAAGGCGTTCGCCTTCCCGCCGTCCAACCAGCGGAGTTAGGTGCTTTTCTACCCTCGTTTTTCAGTTTATGAATAAAAATTTGTGGTTTGTGCAATGGCGTTTGTATTACTAAATTGTTTTAGGATTTTCGAGATGTATTTTTTAACATTTTCTATTCTATAAAATTCTAAATTTAATTAAAATTTAATTGCCTTTACTAAACATTTCTTTCCCAGTTTACAAACTGCGGTTCTGCTGTAAGAACAAGCTTATATATTTTGGACGGACCTTCGCTGTTGGCTCCCCCTATCTTTTGGCAATTAACTGTGGCCAAGAGCAAGCCAAGAGCTACCCACGCCCGCTGCTGCGGACTTGGACATTCCTTTGCAATTAGCATTGGCCCGGCTCCATGCAAAAGGCCATAAACCAAAGCTGGCTTTAAACAATTTCCATTTGTTTGCTTTATGCCATTGCCAGCTGCTGCTGTTGCTGCTGCTGCCGCTGTTGCTGGTGCTGCTGCTGTTGCAGTTGCAGTAACGACTGTTGCCGTGGCAGGCTGCCTTCCTGCGATGCGGGCGCTGGAAGTCGTCGACCCTTTGGAGCTGCTCTTGTGCCAGCATAGCTGCTGTTCTGTTCTATTCCACTACGCTGTACTGTTCTTGTCCGTATACTATGTATATATACCCTGTTTCGGCTGAGCAAAAGAGTATATTTTACAGGGGCTTATATTGGAAATTGCATGTTGTAAATGCAGGACCTATAAAAATGGCTGAAAGTTTTTTATGATATCAAGAAAACAAGAGAAACAAGAATGATTTATTATTTTTGACCTTACAAATAAGCTTTTCAATGAAACAGAATATTTTTATATTCTTTGCACTGTAAAATATTTTTATTCTGAATAAAAAATTGTTAAGAATTTATAACATTTGAACTCAAAAACACTTTGCTTTTTGCTTAAATCTTTTCTTAATTGAGTGAATATTATATTTTTTTTGTAGAAAAATCTTAAATAATTTTCCCTGTTATTCAAACTAACCAATATACCTTCTTGTTGGGTAATTCTTGGTCGTTCTTGCCAGTTTTCCACACACTCACACAACTGAAAATTTTTGTGTCTCTGCTGCTGTTGTTGCCGCTCTGTTTGCCATTAACACCCACGCCAGCAACTTGGGTTGCTGTTCGCTGGTTGCTGGTTGGCTCGGTTGGCCCAAGACTTGGCATAAATTATGAACAGCAACCGATGACGCATGCAGGCCGACCTAAGTAGACTGGCTCGTGCATAAATAACTTTCGTTAGCCACATGGCCCGGGCTGAGGCTGACTTGGCCCGACTTTATTAGATCGCTGCCACGGAAAGCAGAACTAACTCGATGCCAGTAATGTGCAGTAAGTTTCATGACCAGAGCAGGTTTTCGGTCAGCCAGCACTACTATAAGCACTATACGCAATTGCCAGCCCAAAACAGGCTTTGGCTCTATGGCTTTGGCTATAACTTTAAACCGCAGCACGCGCCATTGTTTAGGTGGTGCAGCAAAAAGCAGCGGCAGCAAAAAGCAGCAGCAACAGCAACGGGTGGGTCAAGTTTGTTGCCCAAGTCTTTTGTTTATACTTTCGTTGATGCGGCCGCTGTGCGTGGCTGTAATGCTGGGCCCAATGGCCAACTGCTTAGCACTTTTATGGCCAACAATTGTCAAGTCTCTAAGGGGCCCCAGATTGCATCCACGGCAGCTTAGAACGGGTGCACCGAGAGAAAGATATTAAAATACATTGATTTTTGGTCGTATATTTTTAAAACTAGTTTGAAAACTATTACTAAGTTTTCAAAAATATTAATAATGTATTAAATTAAGTTTTACAACAAACATTAAAAAATTGGTTTTATAAATAAAATTCTAAAATTTAAGGTTTAAAAAACTTTTTTTAAGAAAATAAGCTTATTTTAATATATTCGATATTTACTAAACCAAAAACCATAAGGACTAAAAATCTGAATAAAGTGAATTTTAAAAATGTAATAATTTATTTAATCGTCAATCTTTTCTCTCTGTGCGCACTGCAAGAAAAGCAAGGTCGCATTGTTGTCTGGGGAGAATCAATTTGAGACTTAAATGCGGATGGTTGTCCGTTTTCTGCTCGTCAGTCGCATCACGTCACGTCACGTTCTGCGACTCATGCTCTTGGGTCGTCAGTTTTTTGAGTGCATTGCCGCTGTCCTTTAAAGGGTTTTGCCCATGGATGCGGCTGCTGGTGCTGCTGCTGCTCCCATGTTGCTGTTGCAGCTGCCGCAACAATGACAACAGCAAAAGCAGCAGCAACCATTGTTGGCACTGCGACTCTGTCTAGTTCTGCTTTTGGGCCTTTACATGCGCGGCCGTAACAAAAAAGGTGTTAAATTCAGCCCATGGCTTGGCCAAAGCGAACTACAGGCCAAAAGCCGGAGCTCGATGCAAAGTCAATGCACTCTGAAGAATTCGCTGGCTCGGCAGAAGGACATTTCCAGCTCCAAACTGGGATGGTGAAGCACCTCAAGTGCTTGTACACAAGCTGGGCGAGCGAAAAAAAATTCAAATGAAGTCAGCAGTCAGCGGTCATCATGATGAAAACATCAACCGAAACAACAAACAATAAAAGACAATAACATCCAGATTTAACTGTAAACATCTGTGAACTATTAAGGCAATTAATTAACTGGCTACACAATTTGTTGGCTTTGCACATTTTGGTCTGGTCATTTCGCTCGTCGGGCTGTCAAGTGGAAAAATGCCATTTAATTCGCCACAAATTGTGCATTGTTTGGGCCTTAATTAAAATTGTCTTTTGTTCATCTTCGTCTTCTTCTTTCTTTTGCTTTGCAGAACGGAAGCTGACAATTGACCATTAAAGAAGCAAAAACAAGCCACATCTGCTAATGCGAAGGGGAAAAACTTTCACTCAGTCGAAATGTTTTAATTAAAATTGGCAAAAAAAAAATCAGAAAACAATGCGTCCGAGCTGGAGAAAGAAATTAATTTAAACTAGATATTGTGTGTGTAACCGGTTGGGATTTCGCATTCGCAATGCTCAGTTGGAAAAGTGAAATTTCTCAGACGCTCTTTGAGAACCCATTTTTGGCATTTAGCAGTTCATTAGCAAGATAGCTACAAAATATGCATAAAATTAATCAGATGGTACCAAATACAGGCCACAAAGGCGGAAAGTGAAAGAATGTAAAAACATTCGTGAGCTGCCCATAAATATAAGAAGAAATTTCCGAAAATAAATATAAATAAAATTTATGATTGTTTTACACCTTAAAACCTTAACTTACAAAATTTTATTCTTTTTTATACAAGAAGATTGTTTCCATATTTGTATATCCAATAACCAATACAATTTTATAATTATGTAAGATTAAATTAATCAAATATGATGAGATAGGGAAACGTTGAGGGCTGATTAATTTATTGTTGCTACTGGCTTCAAAACACCTAAGTGGATCACACGGCTAACAACTCCCGTTGGGAAATATTAATTTAGCTAAATGTTTTGTTTTTGTGTCACAAGCAAGATAAGAATCCAAAATTATTTAGATCAAAATGATAAACCTCCGAGGGAAATAACAACCGAAAGCCATGTGACCCTCATTAAAAGTAAGTTTCATGTATTTATTCCTTTGATCTTGCAGCGGCGACCACACAAACACTCCGGAGTTTGTGGAGAACGCTTTTGATTATTTTCTCAAGCGGTTTCTCTCCACCACTTCGGTCTTTTGTCTTGGCCCAAGTCATGCATAATGAGAGAACCTGATATACGGCGATATACTATATACTCGTATATATGTCAATTACAGCACGATCTTTTGGCAAATTCGCGGCAGCCAACGCCGCCGCCTGACACATTTCCAGTGGGTCAGAAGTCTGATACCGATATTTATGTCACCGGCGACAATAAATTTGTCAGCTCTTTGTTAACCGTTAAGTAAACGCAATGCATGATTTGTGTTTTGTAATGAGGGCGAGTGAGTGAGCCCGCGCGAAAAATGTCGAACGAATCCGCCGACGAAGATGAAGTTGAAGTCGAAGTCGAGTGGTGAACGAAACGGGTTTGGGTTCAGTTCATAAAATATTCATGATATGCCAAATGTTTTGTTTTATTTGCCTTTTTGATTGTTTTGTTTTGTTTTATTTTTTCCTTTTTTGCGAGCAAAATTGCTTAAGATTGAGTCATGGAATTTTGGTTGGGACATCAATATTCAATAGGCAACAGAATAATTTATAATGCTCGGAGACAGTTAAATATTTTCTTATTTTGTTGATTTTTACCGCAGACAGAATACTACAAAAACAGAAAAAAGAGAGTCAAAAATAATTGCATTTTAGAATTTTATTGTTTTTCTCCAGATTTAATTTGAACATAAATGCATGATTTCAGTACCAACCACAAATGTTGTAATGCTTCTTAGCCTTTATTATTAACCAACAAAAAATTATAAAAACAAACAATTTGAAGTGTGACCAGAAAAGCGGCATTGACCATTCAAGTGCTCAAATTCGATGGCTCTCAACACATTGTTTCGATCACTTTTGGGATGCAATGCCAGGAGCAGCAACAACAACACCAACAGCAGCAATATTAACAGCAACAATGGGAGCAATACCAATGGCAACAGCAACACCAATTGCCTGACCTTCAGTGGGCCACTTGAGGCGGCCCGAACTGCCGCACAGCTTCTGCAGCAAAAACCACTCGAACTCGAACACGAAGTTCGCTGGCTGTCAGCCATTTGAGTGACTGACATGCAACACTAGCAACAGCAACATCACCGGCAGCAGCAGCAACATCAGCGGCAGCAGCAGCAGCAACAATGCACAATAGCGTGCCACAGACAGCCGAAAACACCAATTGGTGTCAAAGCAACAAAATGCTACCGAATTGCAACTGCCACAGCCAAGGGAATTTCTCGCTGCCGAAATTAGCAATAAATCAAAGATTGCGAGTCCGGAACGCGGCTAACTAATTTCACTAAAGGAAAACGCGCTATGTAGAGAAAAAAATATCGGAAAATTAAGCTTAAATCTAACAGAAATATTCTAAATTTTATTATAGTTTTTTATTATTAGATTAAAACTTTGC